CAATACGGTCGCCGCCCTGGAAGTCGAAGGGGTTCGAGTGGTGGATCATGCAGGAAAGGCCGCCGCGCTGCTGGGCTTCTTCACCGGCCTCTTAGCTCGGGCGCGGCGGCCCGTCTGGCGTTTCTCCCTCTCTGGGCTTTACGCCCAGTCGGCGCGGGTGGACGGCCCGCCTCTCATCGCTCCATTCGCCCGCGCGGAAGTTAAGGCCGCGGTCGAGGCGCTGGACCGCACCAGTGCGCCTGGGCCCGACGGGCTGGGGCCTGCCTTTTACCAAGCGGCTTGGCGCGAAGTGGCTGATGATCTTCAGAGGCTGTTCGATGATCTTTGGTCCGGTTCTGCCTCCCTGGATGGGATTAACCGAGCTTATGTGGCTCTCCTCCCCAAGACAACCGGTGTGCCGACGCCGGCTGATTTCCGGCCTGTCTCCCTGCAAAACGGAGATGTCAAGATATTGTGCCGAGGGCTGACGACCAGGCTTCAAAAGCAAATTGTGGATCTGATTGATGAAGACCAGTCTGGATTCGTGAAAGGGAGGAGTATCTCTGAAAATTTTGTCTATGCCACTGAATTAGTCCAATGCTGCCACAGAAGAAAAACGCCTGCGGTTGTGTTGAAGCTGGACTTCTCCAAGGCTTTTGACTCGGTTAACTGGGAGAGTCTCCGTTCTATCATGGAGGTCCGTGGCTTCCCGACTGTTTGGTGTGACTGGATTGACGAGATCCTCCATTCATCCCGCTCGGCGGTCTTGCTGAATGGGGTGCCTGGGAAATGGTTTGCAATGAAGTGTGGTCTACGCCAGGGGGATCCGATCTCACCTTACCTCTTCCTGATCGTTGCAGACGTGCTGCAGCAGCTGATCCGTCAGGATACAGTCATGAGGCATCCGCTTGTGCCCGGCTCCCCCGCCGTTGTGCTCCAATATGCCGACGACGCGTTGGTTCTCATGAGGGCGGACGAGGAGGGCGCGGTTCGTCTCCGTCAAATCCTGGATATGTTTGCTGAGGCGACTGGGCTGCGGATCAATTTTGCCAAAAGCACGCTCGTCCCAGTTCATGTTGATCAAGAGACACAGGATGTGGTCGTTCGGGCGCTGGGCTGCGTGGTTGGAGCCTTCCCGCAAACCTATCTCGGGTTGCCGCTGTCGTGGGAAAAACTGAAATTCGCAGATTTTTTGCCGATGCTCGCAAGAGTCGATAAATATCTTGCTGGCTGGGCGGCGCGCCTACTCTCACCCGCTGCGCGTTTGGTCCTTATCAACGCGGTTCTGGACGCCTTACCAACCTATGCCATGGCTGCCCTGCTCCTCCCCCCAGCTTTGATCAGAGAGCTGGATGCCATGCGGAGGGACTTTCTGGGGAATGTTGCTGAGAGAGCCTCGGGAGCACAATGCTTGGTTGCCTGGGACCGGGTTTGCCGCACGAAAAGTGAATGAGGGCTGGGGGTTCGCAGCCTTGCGGCCCAAAATGAATGCCTCTTGCTGAAAATGGTTCATAGGCTCCATGTTGCTCAACGTTTGAGGTGGGCGGCTTGGGTCTGGGCGGAGGCAAACGGGCGATCGCTGCTTGGAAATGGTGGTCGTGCCCTGGGAGAGCAGGGAGTGGCCCTAGCCAGGCTAATCCCCCTGTACCGCACGCTCTCTTCGGTGGAGGTGATGGATGGCCGCACTGTCTCCTTCTGGAGGGACCGCTAGCTGCCATGCGGTCCTATTGCGGCGGCATTCCCTGCGCTCTTCTCACACTCTGTTTCGGTGGAGGTGACGGTCTGGCAAGTACGAGCCGATGGGCTCCGCCGACACCTTGTGCCGCGCCTCACACGGGTCGGGGAACAGGAGTTGGCCGTGGTCTCAACCATGATCTCAACCACGCCGGTCCGGGGCGGGGAGGACGTGCGGTCGCTCATCCACATCACCGCCCCGTGTGGGCGCCTGTCGTCAGCCAGAGCATACCGGCTGCTGAGGTTCGGGGGGAGGACCTTACATTGGGCTCAGTTCATCTGGGATGCGTGTGTGCCGTCCAGAGTCAAATTCTTCTGTTGGTTGATGGCGCAGCGACGCATTCACACCAGAGATGTGCTGCTGAAGAAGCACATTGTCGAAGCGGATGGGGTCGGGTGCCCAATCTGTGAAAGGGAGCCGGAGAGCGCGGACCATCTGGTCTTCTCCTGCCCGTTCGCGGCGACTTTCTGGAGACATGTTGGCATCAAGGTCAATGGCGCAGCGGTTAACTGCCTGGATCTGCTGGCTTCTTCGGCGAGCTCGGTCGTCGGCTCTGCCCGAGACTTCACCATGCTCTGTTGTTGGCACTTGTGGAAACATAGGAATGCGGTTGTATTTCAGGGGCGGCGGCCCTCTCTCGCTCGGTTGCTGCGGGGCTGCCGGGAAGACGCTCTCCTGTGGCGTGGGCGCCTGAAAACGGATGACCGGGGCCATGTTGATACTTGGTTAATGGCCCTGGGGTAGCAAGGGACGAGCGGGCAGCTCGGTGCCCCCTTCAGTTTGTTCTTGTTGTTCCCCCT